TACACATAAACTCAAAAATTATCATTACTTTGCAACCACACATTCTTCCATCAATCACTATTCCAAAATTTATTTTTTCTTCAAAATAAAAGTCAAATGGGGACTATGATTCTAATTGTGACCTTCAAGGTTTTGTTTTAGGAATTGAAATTGTGAAGAATGCATTGTTAGTATATAACCTTATCAATTCAAATCATCAAAACACAAAATTCCTAAGAACCCATAATCATTCATTATCAAGAAAATTTGTAAAGCTTATCCAAACGTTGTCTCTCTCTCTCTCTCTCTCTCTCTCTCTCTCTCTCTCTCTCTCTCTCTCTTCTCTTAACAAAAGAATTTGGAGGCCCAATTTTTAAATATGGGCTTTTGATTCTTCAAGTACTATTATGTGCTACATTTATATTTTGAGAATTTTGAGGGATATTCTAAGACCCTGGCCTGATCTCCTTAACATAAAGGGATAAATCTTACATTGAATAAAGATAGAATATAAATTAACATATAATGGCTTGTTCTAATCATGTTATCAAGGTTGACGTTTAAGAATGATCCCAAATATCAGTATGATATCAGAGCTCATGAAGTTCTAAAAAGGTATTTGATTTGATTAAGACCGAAAAATCAAATATATCCAAGTTTTTGGATCAGATCTAAAATGTCGGTCCAAGTTCAATATTTATGCATTGAAAGTGATAGAGAAGAGTAAAAGGAGAGACTATCGATCCATGATTTATTGGGAGATTCCTTTTTTTTTTTTTTTCGAATCATCATAAATCACGTCCTATGGTTCCAAACTTGGATCAGTATACCCTAATATATCATTTTTAGGTTCATATATAGAGAAAAGTAAAATAAAGAAAAGTTTCATAAAGTTAATAAGCGACTAGTAACATTAAAGAATTAAATGTGTTGGACAATGACATTTTTAGCTGGTGTATTAAGAGCTAGTTTGATTTTAATTTTTTGAGACGTGATTATTTGAAAAGTGTATTTTACTGAATGTGTCGTTAAAAAAAGTGATAAGTGTTAGGACAAAATCCACAAGCGTACAGTATCGTTGACAAATAATAGATTTGTAAGTTAAAAGTATTGTCCCACGGGGAATAATTGTAATTATAATTTACTAGTTATAATCAAATTTGATTCATTGTAACACTAAAAATGTGT